ATGTATTACATGTAAATTTTATATTAGGGAATTTTACTTTAATATAATAAGAATATTAGATCAAAAGATAGATATACATTTGAGTTCGTACATTGTTCGTACACATAAAAATAGCAACAGTAGTACCTCATACTGCGTATTCTGGGCAGCAGGTACCTAAGCAGAGCTTTTGATATGGTTACTAGACAACTTATATAAATACATATATACTTTTTTTATACTTATAATTAATTACATTAAGAATCTTATAATTTTTAGAATATTATATTTTAATAGAGATAAAATTTAATCTAAGGTTATTCTGGAAAAGTCAAGATCACATTACACACCGTTTTCAGTTTAAAAATCGTGCGTTTGCCGAGTATATAAATACAAATATCTTCTCTTGTGATATTTCTTGATTTTTGTCTCTCACCTGCCCTAGTATAGTAAACGTTGATTGAAGAGTTAATCTTACTATACAAATCTAAATAAAAACAAAATTGTAACTGGCAGCCTATAAATATGAGCGTCTTTAATATCTTTTTCAATAGCCAGTAATCTGCAATGGCGGCAGTTGTACGGGTAATTATTTTTGTAGACTAATGATGCTGAGGAATGTACTATAAGAAATTGCATAGCTGGGCTCCCTGAAAATTACAGTCGTTATAAATTTTCTAGTTTCAATACTACTAATTTATACTTTCTTTCTATGAAGGAAAATAACTGGCCATAGTGAGTGTGGTGACCACAAAGACCTATTTTACTATTTTCTATATATGGTAGTCCTTAAGGTATATATATTATGGTCCAATATATATAATATATATAAATAACATAACGTTGTCCGAATTAAAAATTATTCATTAATTATGAATGAAAAAAAAATTACTGTCTTTATTTTATTGAAATATCATCTTAAATTTATACCCTTACGATACTTGTAATTTATAGATAAATCAAATTAAATAACTGTAACGGTATTTTAATTTTTTAATAAGTTTCTTATATTTTGTCGATTGTCACTATTTCCGGACTGGAAAAGAAAACACCAGTATGTTATATTATAAGTTGTCACACTGTCTTCAGTGAAATTCAATTATATAAAAATGATACATAAATTAATATGAAATAAATAAAAAGAATTTTTCATCAATCATCGAATTAAATTAATATAAGCACTTTTGAACTCATTTGTTTTATTCTACTAATCTAAGGTGTGATGACAACCCTGGTTGTATGTAATTCTTGTCGTTATGTAGTCGTCAAGAGCCCTTTGTGTCAGTGGCCTTTAATTTGCCATTCTGAGTACCATGAGTCATTCTATAAGTACCGTGGCAGGCAGCAAAAGTCGGTAAACCCACGCGGCGCCCTAGTTGCGACTAGCTTACACTAGGGATGTGATATACTGTATAAAATATAGATTTTTTTATATTACGACGTCGGCAAAAAAGCTTACGGCCGATCTGATGGTAAACGGTTACCGTAACCTATGGACGCCTGTGTAAGGAGTGTCATGTGAGCGTTGCCAAACCTTAACAAATTCTGATATACCCCCCTTGAAAAACTCCATGCTGTAGTCTCTCGAAAATACCTCGTTCTATGTAAATGTAGAGGGAGGAAGCGCCAAATTAATGAAATATTTTTGTTCGCATAATAATATATTTTTTATTGTATAGGTATAGGTACTAGTTGTGCTTACGATTTGACCCGCATAAAATTTATATATTTATTTATTATTTAATAAAACTTTACAATAATATATTATTGTAAAGTTTTATTAAATTCCCTTGAGTATTTTTCTATTATATTATACAATCCTAATTATTGGGATTTGTATACGTATGTATTTTCTTGTTTTTTATTTTTAGATTTTAAAAAACCAGATGAAAATATTTTTTCTTCATGATTATTATAAATCGATAAATCGATTTTTTGGTGAATCCATTATTGTTATAATCGATTTTTATGTCACATCTCTAGTTTATACACGCTACGAATTTTTTAGCATCTTTATTGGTTATATAATGTTGCATTTAAAATTCGCATTGGAAGGTAATTACTTTGATTTTTACGAGTTTAATTTTAAATTATAATAGTTATTTATATTATACTGTAGAACGAGATTGCCTTGGCATATTGACTTTAAAACTAAGCTTATGTTTTGATTCGTTGAATAATAAATATTGTGGTATTGATGACCTAATATATATCATTCATATTTTTTTTCGATTCTTAATCCTACTTTTTTTGGTGAATATGTCACGATGGGACTGAACTGATGACGTGACCTCATGCTCATCTTATCATCCTCCACTGGTGCCCCGCCAGCGTAAACCGTTAGCGCAGGCGGGTGCACTATTCCATTATCATCCATAAAAAATCCTATTTATTTCTTTAAGATTCTTACGTAGAACTATCTTGTTGCGGTAATGTTCATGTAAGACATATATATTTGCGACGATTTATTCTGATTTTAACGTACATACATTGTGGATATTCAATGTGTGTTATGTTGTATTTCATGTCAGTTTTTCACAAATTTAGATTAAATTTATATTTTAAAACACTGTAATCTTTCGTTTGAAACTATTTTAATTTAGCATATAAATTTATTTAAATACAATAAAAAGTTCAGAGCTTGATAATCTAGTCACAGTGTCGCCCTCTCATTCTTCTCAGTTTATAACCAGGAACCTTTCACATGGATTCTGTGAAAGGTTACTGCGAAATGCATAGTCTGGATGACTGGAGGTGAGAACGTAGGCGCTTCTTGCAACATCGACCGCGACGAAATTTTAAAATTCTTGATTCAACAGTTGAAATGCTTAAATACAGGGTGTTTTATTTTTCTTCACTTTACTTAGTACGCATGTTGCAGCGCAATTTGAGGTTTTAATAGCAAGGCACAGAGTACTAAATATCCCTCGCCTCGCTTCTCCGCCTACACACATTACTATAATGTGTACTGGCATAAAAAGAGTGCGCTTTTTATTAAATTTTACACATATATTTTTTTTAAATAATAGATATTAAAATAATAATAAATTTTAAAATAATGGATTTTAAAATAATAAAAATCTCATTTCCACGAATTCTCCACTTATTTTTCTGGACTTGATTTCTCGGTCTCGACTCAAGAAATCTCGAGCGAAAACCCTATAGGATACGTTCGTATTGGGTATTTGAAATACGCAGCCCACAGTTAAATAAGAACCTGTTTATATACTGTGACCTGAGTTTATAAGTATATATACTTATAGGTTGGTATAATATTATGGGTGGTCGTAAACTCGCATGTTTTATGGCACAAATAACATATCTTTTGTAGCGAGGAGTGAGTAATTAAACGAACAGACAGGTAGTAAATAAGTAAAAAATATATATCCTTAAACACCGGTGGTCTATCAGTTTAGTATAAAACCTTATATCATGATAGCGCGTTCGATTCACGTCTTGAGTCGAAACTGTTGTTTTAATAGCAGGAATTATTTAGTTTTTTTCTGTTTTCAGGGTCCATAATTGATCTACTTTGATTATAGAATGCAAAGCTTAAATAAATAAAATAGTTGTCCCCACAGCCGGCCCGCATGGGTCTGTAATATACTTATGTCCCTGAAGGTAGTTTCCAAATAAAAATCCAATGAAATATTCGAAATTAGATGAAAACTTTCGTGGATTGCCTCCTATGTACAAACAAAGACCTATTTATAAATTTAATATGGCGGGTAGCCTTTGTTTTTAAAAGACATGTCAGTCCCATTGTATGTGCGCTAGGAATGTGTTAATTACTATTAATATATGTGCAATTATTAATGCAACCTTGGTATATAGGTACAGACACATTGTAATAAATTTGTATGTAAATAACATACGTCATTATATGCTGGTCGACATGGTTCAACTAATATCTAATATCTATCTTTGTACTTAGATACAGATATTAGTTCAATATGTTGTAGAAAGTAAGTAGGAAGCGTTAAAACTAATCGTCTAAAAAAATACGATTAAACAAATCGACATCGCAGGTACAGCACTACCCCGCTACTACACATAGTAACATTAATTTACACCTGTCAATTTAGTCTCCGGGATTAAAAATAGTCGATAGTACTCTTTATGATATTGTATGAATAGGTGTATTTTTTTCGAACTCATCTAATGCTGTTGGCCGCACCTGGCCTTTACAGCTTTGCCGAACGATAGGCGTGTGCAAATGGCACTCCAAACCAGCGGAAGAACTAATGGAGTGGCTGAAGCACAATTCCTACTTTACGGATACGTTTTTAGTTTGAGGGCACCGCTAGGGGCTCGAACCTAGGCTCAGGCCAGTAATTTCTATCTGCGTTTAAATTAGACGGGGGATCGATCCCCGCCAGGTGTACCTTTAGCGTAGGTGGAGTGCAATATATCGTTGTCATCAGTTCGTATTGTGCTGGGACTGAATCATCGATCAATAACAGACAATAATGACTACAAACATTTGTAATGAGCGGGGATTGAATATGCCCACCATCGATAGTTGAAGAAGTGTGCTACACCACTGAACCACAGACAATAGGGGACTGATACCGATTACAATAGGGGACTATAGAAACTTTATTCCACTCTATATTCTAGTTAACAATTTTATTAAAATAAACACATATAAATTCATTACTTGAAGGTTTAAATATCGTCACTTCAGAAGCTGATTCCAGAATGTGGTTGGGCGTGGCAAAATTTTATTGAAAAAGACACTGTCGAGGATTACCATTCATTAAAATAATCAGGATGGTATTTTAGTTTCAAGCGGGTAGTGTGTGTTTACGTATATATGTGAACACATATATTTATGTTTAGTAATGAATAAATGTAAATGTATGTGAGTGCACAAACCTGACCTTTCTTGATAAGAAAATGAATTACTTTGAATTACTTTTTCTACCCAAAGGTTTTTAGAAATAAGATTGCCTTTTGTATCAGTTTATTTAAATTTAATTTCTGTATCTAGTGCAATAAAGACTATTTTGTTTTCACAGAATGGCCTCCTATCCTCTCTGCCGTACTTGGGCAAGTACTTGTGCGCATTAGCGTCGTCGGTGCTGGCGGACTCGCTGCGCCGCACTGAGAAACTCTCCACCACCGCCACTAGGAAGCTGTTCACCGGCTTCGCTGTTGGCTTCCCAGGTATAATGTCTTTTTACCATAGATAGCGAATGATGCGCTATCGACAGGAAATTCATCCCTACATGCTGGAATCTAAGTGGTATAGAACAATGCGGTTTTAGTGGAGCTTTCTCCCGCGTACACTTAGATTGTGGAATGAACTACTTGTCGAGGTTTTTTTTAGCGACTTTATGTACAATGTACCTTAGGGTACATTGTACATGAAGTCTCTAAGGTTTCTTAAGGGTTGACAACGCGCACGTGACACTCTGGTGTCTCAGGCGTCCATAGGCTCCAGTAACCGTTTACAATCAGATACTTATGGGAAAAAGCATACGGCCCATCTGATGGTAAACGTGTATAAAAAAACCATCATAGTACAAAAAATGTAACTGGATTGCACATACTGCAACCTACTTGATAGAGGTAACAAACGTCAATTGAACTGTATCAGGACCGTCAGATGTAGGACGAGTAAATAAATCTGAAATTGATCCGAGTCTGGCTGCATGAGTAGTTGTTTTATAGGTACTATGAAAGTATAGATAACATATTCCTTCATAAGATAACACATTCCTTCGACTTATTTGGTAAAGTTTATGGTAGCGGTACATGATCCCGGATTAGTCAAGTGTAAGGTGAAAGTTGACGTTATGCAACATAAAAAGCTTGTTATATGCATGAAAAATGATTGAAATATGCACGAAAATTGGCAGAACATGCAAAATTAAATGATAAATTTTAGGAAACCCAAAAAAATTGTATTTTTTTTATTTCAAAATCAGCATAAAATTAGTAAATTATTTTTTGATAGGCTATAATAGGTACAGTAACATTATATGACATTCAAAATAATTAAAATTTGAATATGTAACAATTTATATGCGTAATAGGTGGAACGACTTTGTAGTAGGCGAGTGCGACGTTCTTCTGTCTCTTTCATTTTATAATCGTAACTGTCAAAACAAAAGAAGCGCGTGGCTACTGACTGCGTTCCGCATTCAGTAAAAAGTCACAATTATTACTCAATAGCTCTTATATTTTGTGACTGCTATTATATTAAATTTGGTCGCATTTCGGAACGCAGGGTGAGTGAAAAATATTGTAAATATACCGATAATATGAATCATAACTAGATCTTAGGTAAAATATGCTATTACCTCTGAGAATGGCTAAAATATGCAAATGCATATGCGAATATGCAAATGCATATAATCTGGCCTCTAGTGATTATAAAAATACATTCGGTATGTAATCACATCTAAGCTCTCCCGATGACACGGTTTTACGTACCATTTTTAGAACAATTTTAACAAAATCTCTAATGCGATGAGACTTAGACAATGATAGTGTAGTATTTCATGTGCAAGTATGTACTCGTAAATACACGAAGAACCATAAAGACAAATGTTTTATCTATCTATCTAACATTTTTTTAATTCATGCAACTTACATGTCTACATCGACACGCGGGAGCGTGTCAAAGCCGAGTTCAAGTAAGAGAACTGACGAGCAGCACCGTTTTACACGAACCATTTGGAGCCACATTTGACCCCCTCATAACTCAAAAACTCTTTCACATATTATATTTTCAGGAATAATGATGTTGGCTCAAGCGTACTTCGGCGAGGACCGCGTATGGTCTATCGCGATCTTCACTCTGGCGCTGACCATCAACGGTATGGTGACAGCAGGGTACCTCGGGAACGGACTCGACATCGCGCCCAACTTTAGTGGTGAGTTTAATTAATGTAATATTATTTTTAATTTATGATAAATTATATTATTATGATATTTATTATTTTATTTTAAAACCAATTGTAACTACCTTGACGACCTCGGTGGTGTAGCGATTTAGCATACCGCTTTACTTTCGATGGTGGGGGTTTCGATTCTTCGCACGGCACAAACATTTGTATTCATAAATGTGATCGTTTGTATCGATCTAGGTGTTTTTTGTGTATAGTATTTATGTATTTACGAAAAAAAATATCTATGTATTTGTTATGTAATATTTATAACCCAAGCTAGCTTAACTTGGGCCAAGAAGGCACTGTGTGAATTGTCCTGATATTATTATTATTGTTATTGAACAGTCGATTACGCCTCTGTCTACCCCATACAGGATAATGTTCTTGAGAATATGTATGTATTTGTATAACATGAATTTATAATTTACCAGGAACAATATTCGGCTTGGCGAACACGCTCTCATCATTTGGCGGATGGCTGTCGACATTTATGGTCGGGGAACTTACCAAGGAAAATGTAAGACAATGTTTTATATTATAAACTATCTAGGTAGCATACGTCCAGTCTGTTGGTGAGCGATTCGACAATGTGTGACACCCTGGAGTCCAGATATCTGTCTACTATCAGATGGGTATGTTAAATGTTTACCATCAGATGGGCCGTATGCTTGATTGTCACCATTATAGTATAAAAAGTATAGACGGTGTATCGAGATAAGTAAAAAATACTTAGTTATTTAATTTTGAATTTTTCACATAAATTTTGAGGACATGTGATAAAACTTTGCCATTTAACTGTTTCCCATAAGACTCATAGTTTTACGATAATCATGATAAACCGTTTTTTACTCTTAAAACTCAACCCCATCCATTTCCTGACCTCAGATCGCCGGTAAATTATTTTTCTATCATTTTTGTTATATTCTCTTCTTTTTCCAATGGGTTTCATCCTACTATTAGTTCTGGGTTATTATTATTATTATATTGACGACGGTTACCACTTACCATCAGGTGGAACGTCAGCTTTGTCATTCCGATTACTACAAAAAATATTTAATTTCTAGAACACCGTGGAACAATGGAGAATAGTGTTCTTCATTCTTGCTGGAACATACATCTTTGGGGCGGTGACCTTCGTCACCTTCGGATCTGGAGAACTTCAGCCATGGAATTCGCCAGAGGAGGAAGTGGCCAGGGATGAACATGAGGTGGAGCCGCTGAACGAGGAGAAGGCGTGAGGATCTTATGAGGATTTAAAGACAGGCATGTCAGTTGTAAATAATATTGAACAGGGAAATGTTAAGACTGTTAAATTATTATAAAAAATAAATTTAAATTCACATCCTTAGATGAGATGCTTTCAGATACTTTTCAATCTAATCACGAGGTCACGTGATCGGATCCATTTCAATCTAATTATGAGGTCACGTGGTTAAATTTTCAATCTAAACATGGGCTCAAATTCTTTTTAATGCCCCCACGAATTCACGTGATTCTTTTTATTTATATAGTTTTTTTTTAATTCATCAAAAATATTCTTCTTCAAAGGATATAATGCGATTGTATCCTAATATTTTTGTGTATTGATAAATTTATAAGTATAATTAGTAAATCACGGGATCTTGGAACTCAATAAAAATAAAACGTGGTAAGATCCCGTGATTTACTTATAAATAATGACCGCGTCAAACTTAAAATAGTATATTGATAAATTATTATATATTTATTGATAAATTATATATCATATGCATTTCTATATGCCTACTGGATTTTTTAAGCTACATTATCTTTGTCCATTGGTCAATTATATTATAATCTGTGAAATATAAAAATATACCAATTCGTGTTTTAGATATTCCTGTTTGTAAATATTAAATTCTTTAATTTTGTGTCACTGATTTCGTTCCACGAACTCCACTGTGATACTGTGTCATATTAGGCTGATATAATATTAGGTGTTTTGTATTCGTATATCTATATCTAGATGTTATAGGTCGTAAGTAAAGACACTTGGTGTATTTTGATTTTGTTTTCTAATCCAATTGTCCTTAGGTTCATTCTTATTTACAACTGACATATGGAATTTTCGTTTTGTCTAATTACTTAAATTTACAAAAAGTATTTTACAAAACTTAAATTTTTGTAGGCTTATAGATTTTGATCATTGCGTCGAGATCTTAGTTATTTTAATTAATTTAACATAACAAATATATATTGGTTCTAATAATATAATCAAAATTCGGGAAAATTACCGTTAATAATTTATGAATTTTATATATTTGTTTATAAAACAGATTGTTTATAGCAACACCATTTGATAAAGATATTTGTTATGTTAAATTCAAATATAATGAATATTAAAGTAAACAAAACATTTCAGCGACTAAACTTATATGAAATAAATAATTGTTACAATCACTTTAAAATCCTAGATTACCTAATGCAGTTGCTAACAACTGACAGACAGGGTAACTTAACAGTTTAGCGATGTATGATATATTTACCAGTTGGATTTGTAGCTCAGTTGTAAATATTGCAACTGAAACTGTCATATGATTCATACATAATCAGAGAAATGTAAAGTTCTATTGTTACAATTCAGAATTGATAGTAACTCGGTAACTTCACAATTTATCCGTAGGTTATATGTTTCAAGAAATTTAATAATAATTGTTTACTTTAATATTGTATGTAAAAATAAATAAAAACTTTCAAAAAAAGGCTGTTATTTATAACGAATGTGATTTGTAATGCAACGTGCCGGCATGCGCAATGGACACGGCTTATGAACTCAGGGTTGCCAACATTACTGCAAATATATTTGCTAAAAAAAGTTGCCAGTGAAAATATGATTCAGGATTATATTATATTTAATTTAATCAATCATGTAGCTGTTCACTTACCTATATACAATCTATATGAGCATATCCAATGATATAAATAAACATGGGTGAGTAACAAATTATGATAATAAATTTAATAACTGACAATCGCTTCCTCACGTTTTCCTTTGGCAGTACCAGAAAGTCAGTGATTTGATACTTAAGTGAACAATGGACTGAGGTGCTAACTATTACATAAATGAGACTCAGTTAACATACGATACTAAAATTTACGGCTAATCTAGGCTAGAATTTAATATGGTTGGGTGAAATAGATCGATGGGCCCACTGATATGAAATGGTTTCCTATTTCGATCCATGAAGCGATCCAGGGTGCTAGGTAGGACCTAGCACCGATAATGTTCTTAGTGTCATACCAATATTACCTTGTTATTAAAATTTACTATTAATTTTGTTTGTATATTCATATTGTCTCGTTTTCTTATTTATTAATGTGCCTGTTTGTGTCTTTTTGAACAAAGTTCTATTTTACTGTAAATTATTGGCTAGTGTCAAACTAGAGGATTCGCATTTGTTGTTTCAACTTCGAATTTAAAAATTAATAAATAAAGTTATCGCTGCCTAATATATCTCTGTTTATAACTGGATTAGATTGGATTAAAAAATAACGTGGGTTTTTTTTATTGCGTTATGTATTTTGATACAAATTTTCTGATAAACTATCTTTACAGATATTTTAAGTGGTTAATAATATTATAATAATAAAAGCAATCTTTGATAAAAACTAAATTTTTAAATATTAGTAGTTAATTTTCCGTATGTTTACGAAATACTATATATCAAATCAGGTTACTGTATATCAGCAACCTAAATTGGCAGCGTCATTGTACAACAGGTATAAAAGCAAAGGGAAGGGTTTGTATACAGTCACCTACATGATTGATTGAGTTTTTTTTGTTATATTATTAAAGCATATCCCACATTTGTGGTATCTGTGGAGATAATGAAATTTGGCAGTTGGCAACCCGAACTGTAATGGTGGTTCATATGGAAACCCGACTCGCTCTAAGAGTATATCTAGGTAGGTATAAATAAAGCACAAGAAATCTTTATAAGTAGTTTTGTTGGCCTTACTATGCTTTTGGTTAAAAAGCACTTATGGTATACAATGTGTAGGTAACAGTAGGCGTAGGTTCATGGCTCAATGAAATTTAAAATTATACTATTATATTATCACCTTTTTCGATTAAATATTTTTAAATTCTTCCTGAACCAGCACACTTTGTATTCAAGAGGTCAAGATGTAGAATAGTTAAAAGGTCTTGTAGATCTAAGATCTAAGATCTAATTATGTGCGAGTTGTTACAACTATTGAATAATGTGTGATATATAATACGTTCATAAGTTTTAGCAACATTACATTTTTGTAAAATGACATGCAGAAAAGAAAAAAAGGATCATTGATCGAAAATAATTCCTAAATCGAATAATATACATAAAATCGAATTAATATATAATTTATCAAATGTTCTCCTTTTTTAAAGTCGGTTAAAACATATGTGGATGATGAATATATTCTCATGTTTTGTTATTTTTCTACAACAACACTACCATAGGGTTGAATGTAATGTGCGAACTTAAAAGTTAGCTCAAAATTTTCCCATGGAGTAAGTATTTAAAAAACTCCATTAATCAATGTTCATACAAATCTGTTTAACACTTTTACAAAGTGTGTACCTATATAAAAAGACTATTAATAAAATTTCCCACATATCTGTTTAAAATATTACAATTATTTGTATTTTTCAAATTAAAAACATATCTCGAAAGAATACGACAAAATAGTGTATGTACTAATTGAAATAGGTGTATATTGTTTTTTGAAAAACTTATACATTAAAACATATACAACTCTAGAAAAGATGTTAGAATCACTCAAAATAAATTAATGTAATACATACCTATACATATGTACATACAATACATACATATACATATGTGTATATTATTTTGTCTTCTTGCAACATTAAAATTTCTAATAATCTGCCGTAGTGTAATATTTAATGGAAAATATTCAATAAGTTTCTTAGTTGATTGTAATTTCATTGGGTCACGTTAATATTATTGATATTATAAAAATAGTTAACGTTGGGAATCGTACTGATTGTTGATTGTGATTTAGTTAACGGGGACCAAACTTGAGGGCAACAAAATTTATTGGACATACATATAACTAATACATATTCGTTGTATACTAAGTAGATATTATTTAAGTTATATTTAAGATTTTAAAATGCTATACGCAGTTTATTTTATTTTTATTAAATATATTTTTCATATTTGTCATGATTATAATAAATATTTATTATAAGTAATTAATATTAGTATTCCGTCACAATTTTAACATGATTACAACGTGGCTATTGTAAAAAATATCAATATTAAATAATCAGTATATACCATATATACTATACTTTTCTATTAGAAATAAATTTCTATTATATTATAATTTCTATTACAAACAAAAAATGTAATGAAAATAAATAAGCAGGATATAATTATATAGAATTTATTTCTAAAATATATTATATTCATATATTAAGGCTCAAACTGTTTTTGTAAGTACTCTAAAACTCACAAAAAATACTTGGTTAAAGTTGCATGACAACATTTTGTAGTAATTTTCTTGAAAATCTCATTAATTTCCCAATTAAATAGAAGACGAATTGATTAATAAAATATTTTATAATTAATGATGACATAGTAATCGGAATATTCTATGATCAGGAACTTTTTGATAGACCCTTATACCCATCTAATGGTATTAAGATTTCTTATTAATGATAAAATTGTGATGGAATAGACTTGTGTACATATATATTTATATATGTATCGGCACGACCGTTTTATATATACATGTATTTATAACCTAAAAATACTCAGTTATAGGTGTGTACAATAAAACTACATAGATTTCTTGATTATTTACAATTTATTAAGTAATTTTATTAGTATCTAATATTTATTTTTCTATAACGTCGCGTGTTTAGGAAATATAAAGCCATTCTAGTTGTTTACCAGTGGAACTGAAAAACATGACCATAGGCAATTCTCTGTAATTTTTACCATAAGAAATAGATATTAAGATTATGCCATGTTGCAATTAGCTTTATTACAAGGGACAATGCATTGTTTAATGTGCATTTCGACAGCTGTGATAAAGAGGTTTGTCTATGGCCCCCTACCTATACTTGGTTAGTGCATAAATTACTCTCAATTTGTATTTTCGGAATGATAACATTTTGCAACGGCTAACAGTAGTTCCTAAATTACGATCAGTATTTATTGACGTTCTTTTTTTAAAATGTTTTATTTCCATAGACAATATGTTTGAACAGCAGGGTAAGAGTCCACAGAGTACATTCAGAATATGAATAAATAACATTGTTTAAGCAAGATTGTCTGTGGGAATCTTAAATAATGGATAGTATTTTTATTTAATAAGAAGGGATTGTGCCCCGTATAGTCAACACAATTCTCTTTTTAATCGCTATCAAAATAGATTTTATTTACCATTAAAAATCTCTTTTGATATAGATATTTTAAGTAGAAAATATAATTAACTAAAACGGTTGTCTATGAACAAATATTCTTAGCATCATTAATTTATAATACTAGTTGATTTGATTATTTAATTTCTTAGCATTAAATATTGTCATTAAATTGCCAAATTAGTGTAGCGATTGTATTAAAAGTTTTAGATCCTTCATTTATACGAAATACTTTGGGGAGTTGCGAGATTTTTATTCCAATATCTAACTCAATGTGTAGAAATTATAAACCAAATGGAAAATAGTGTCTTTATTC